ATTAGCTAAGCTTTTTCCATAGACTTAACATGGGCTAATGTTATCCTATGGGCAATAGTAATTTAAAGTTAGACATAGATTTGAGTCCTCAAGAAGTCACGCTTTTAAAGTCATGTCCACTAACTGTGATATTGAGCGCAGTTTTTCGACTTATAAACAGTTGTTAAACGACAGACGAATAAGTTTCAAAACCGAAAACCTAAAAAATACTTTGTTATACAATATAATTCAAAAACAATTGTTATTGACCTTTGAATATATGATATTATTTTAATGCAAAATAAATAACACTTTCCTAACTTTTTATCACCTTTTTAGCCATTTTAAAGTAACTTTCATTGTGACTTTAAGACTGGGTTTTGTCACCTAAAAACCAATGCTTTAAACATTAGCATAAGAACGGTGTGAGATGAGCAGAGTAATTCTATTAACTACAATTTTCCTAATGAATTGTAGTTAAAAATAAATTATTAAACTGTATTTATTGAATACAGTGTTTAAAAAGTTCTTTTATAATGTTTTTAAAAGTCAACTACAATATCACCTTGAAAAGAAAAAAATGTGATAAAAACTATTTTGTGCTTAATTTAATACAATCTTACATAATAATAGACAAAGACTAATATAAAGACTTTATAAGCTTTACATCGAAACAATGAATCCTTATTTTTAAAATGTTTACATTTTAACAATAAATGCCATCATTTGAATTCAATTGATCGGTATTTCCCACAACTCAAGCCATATATAAGTCTTATGGCGACGAAGAATATGATTAAAAAGCATTTTGAAAAGACGTGCGAAATGTTTGGCTCAAAAGTAATTTGTCTAACTTTTGTATTGAGTTCTCTATTAGTGTTGAACGATATGAATGTCGTGCAAACAGTTCCCTGTTGTGGGTATCGTCCGGTCAACTGTTGTTACCGTGCAGTAGTGGCTGTGGCGTACTTCAGACCCCGACCTTGTTGTTTCCATCGACGACGACACTGCGGACATTGCGGCAAAAAATGATTACATGGAAAGACACGTTCATTACTTTATAACTGTTATAACATATAACATATATAATGAATTCTTTGCGATTGATTTGCAGAATATATGCATTTATTTTCAATTCATTTATTAATATAATCTTTATTTATTATATTTTATAATTTCATTTATAAATATATTTGTTTGAATAAAGCTATAGATTTAATGCACAAATGAATGTCTATTTATTTAATTCATCTTTAATATCGATTAAATACTGAATATAGTAACTAATCTAACTTGTAAGGAGTAATTAAATAATCAATAACTAAACATAATTAACTAAAATAAAACCAATGATAAGCACTACTCTATGTCTTGAAAGAAACAAACTATGTCTTAAAATTAACTGTTAATATAATAATCTTGTGATAATTCTACGAATCATTTCTAAAACACATTAAGTCTATTTCGAAATTAATAATAAAGATTATGATGTATCATGCTCAGAAAGAAAGGATGCCAAAATCATCTAGCTGATCCAGTCGTGGTTGATATGTTTGTGTTCGGTGCTGAATGGATGAGTATTCCTTTGTCAGAACGTGCGGATGGCCACAAACACCGAAGTTATGGCTAAAATTTTAACTACTGCATTGAAAATTAGCTTTTCACATGAGAAATGCCATTCACTAAAAACTAATTTATAGTGCTATAACTTATACCCTATAAGTCTTACAGTTATATAATAGTATAAGACATAGAATGTCATAGAATGCAAATGGTTAGAAATTTGAACAGAAATTCTGTGTTTGTGGTCATTCGCACGCATTCTAACCAAGGGATACACGTCCACAGACAGCACTGAGAACTACCATATCAACCACCACTGGAACTTCTAGATAATATTGGCATTCCTTTGCAGCTACTTGTACAATATTAAATCGCTATCAAATTGATATTGATTGATCTAGTTAAATAACTATTATAACATCAACAGGTATTGTGTTACAGGTAAATTAATACTTTAACTCTAATTAATCTCATTTATTTGTCAAATTAAGATTTCAAATAAGAATATTATTAATATTCATTTTGACCATGCTCATACTTTAACTATATTTATCATATATCAGATATAGCATTATCATTTAAATCTGCATAACATTAACCATTTTTAAAGTTATAGATATAAGCAATATTATAATTAATATAAAGTAATTAAATTGTGGTAAACATTAAATGAATGTTTGAAAACTTTGTTATAACGAAAAGAGTGTGCATTGAATGCATTGAATGAACACTTCATTGCAATCAATGAGTGAATGTTGTGTGAGATTTGGTGCAAATAGTGTTCTTCGATCCATCTGGCGGAGCAAAATATGACTAAAATGCCCGCCATATGCCCGCCATATGGCCGCCATATGGCTTTGTTTACATCACGTGGTATCGTGAATCACACAAGTAACGTAATTATATTGTCATATTAACCATTATTAATATAACGACGTAAGTTATGTTTTAGTTTATGTGACTTTTGTGACATCTATTGGCAGCCAATAGAAACATTGTTTGTAATGTTAACAAACGACAATTAATCATAACTCCATTAAAAGCCATAATTCATTACAAAATCAATTCAAACAGATTTATTGACAAACATTGGTTACACACAACAAGTAATCATAAGGAGCAACACTTTAATGCAATGCATAACACATTATAAGTATTGAATTAAAAGCATATAAAAACTAAATAGTGTATCAAAATTAATCATTTATTAATAAGTATAGAGCGTTAGTGGTCCGGAGTCTAATGACCGGTGGCCACTAATTTGAATTATCATTTAAATAATCAATAGTAGTGATCGAGACGGTAGGCACCGGACCATAACGGGTCGCCGGCCATAAGTCCTCTTCACTAATGGTTGGTCTTATACAATCAAATCTTGATCTTCTCTTTCAAACTCTACAATTGGTTCTTTGATTTGATAATTGAGTGCCCATTGAATTCTCATTAGGTTATCACTACAATTGAATAGCACTTCAATTGGTTTAGTATTTAATGGCATGCTTTTGAAGTTTTTTGCCACAGTGATTGCATTTCATTGTTGCTTTGGCCCCCTCTCCGGCCACTCGTGTCCAATGGTTCCACAAAATATTGGTATTGTCTTTACTTATATCTGTGTGAAAGGATTAACGTGAGATCCGGTGTCCCATTGGCCTCACAGGTTGGGTGCAGTTATAGAGACAACACTTTCAACATAAAGCCGCCATATTGGTATGCTTTAGCATTGTGTGGCCACATAGGGATAACTATTAAAAAAATTCCTGACGGCCAACGACTACACTCACAACAATCAATGATGGCTTAAAACACTCGTACAGTTCAATAGTATAATGTGAAGTACGTTTCACATCTATAACTATTGTAGTTTACGCATAAACGCCAAAAAACCTGGCCATATGCCCACTTTGGCCATCAATTTATATGGCCAAAAATGACCGGCATTGTGCCCGCAATAATGGCAAATGCCCGCAATCTGGAATAAATGGCCGAACACTAGGTGCAAACAGTTTCACTGCCTCTCTCTCTCTATGAGTGTTGAGAAGTTGTGTCAACACAACCACTGTTTGTATGGTTTGAGCGAAACATGAAAACCACTTTTTGTTGACATTTGTTGATATGGTTTGTGTCTTGAGATGAGTGGTGTGTCTGTGGATGAGGTGATCGGCAAAGCGGTGCGATGTCTGCGAGCGATGCAATACAGCGCCAGTTGTGGTCACTTCTGTGTGGCCTTCAAAGTGTCACTTAATTGTTCATCACATGAAAGACACCATCGGTTGACACTCAGATGGAGACCCACTTTCCTCTACGCCTTCGACAGACATATCCATCACTTGGAGACCATCGCAGACAATGAGACCATCATTCAGGCCTTCGACGAAGCCATTGAAGCGCTTCCCGATTGCGAAGACATTCACTATAATAAAGGCATCTATTATTACAAGTATTTGATCTCATAATTGGATTCACTTTTGTTATGACATTAATGTATGCATTGATTGCCAGAAAGGGATTTCTATCGGAAGCGGTCGAGTGTTTCGTGTCGTCGCTGGCCGTCAATCCTGACTACCATTTGTCTCACTTATGTCTGGAGAACATCAAGTCTTCGTCTATCGCTCGATGGCATTACATAATGATTAATGACATTAAGAGGAATACTGTCTTCAGGACAGCCATTCGCAGAGCTGTCGAAAGCGGTTATAATACTGTGTTAGACATCGGCGCCGGTTCTGGACTCTTGAGGTAGATTTGGTAATTGGTATGGATTTAGATTTAATTGTCAATTCATTTATTGGACACAACAGTCTATATTCGGTGGAATCGGGCGCTCATAAGGTCTACTCGTGTGAAGTTTCCGATATGTTATACCATTTATGTCGAGATGTGTTGCAAATTAATGGTGTTATCGATAAAGTGACGCTTTTCAACAACATGTCCACTAATTTACGTATTCCTCAGATGATTGAAAAGCCGTAAGTCTTGTGTTTATAAAGATTCGCAAAACATGTGAACTAATAATTGTGACACAAATATATGTAAAATGAAGAGTACGTCTTGTGGTGACCGAAATATTTGACGCGGCGTTGTTTGGCGAACACGTCTTAACCACCATTTACTCAGCGCTTAAGAATTTGTTGGATCCGAAGCACGGAATGGTTATCCCAAACAAAGCCACTGTTTATGGCATTCTCATCGAAAGTGAAGAATTGCGAGATCTCTTTACTCTTAACCGAAAACAATTCGGAGATATATGTGTTTCCGAAGACGTGTCCATTTGTGTTGACTTTAATGATATGAAATATACGACAATTAATTTGTCAAAAGTTGCCGATAAAAAGTATTTGAGTCAACGTTTTCAAGTAATTGACATTAATTTCAACAGTATTTTGCAAATTGAAAAACTTTTAGAAAAGGACCACAAGTTTAGTATTGATATTGAATGCATAACTGAAGGAAGACTCGATGCGATCGGCATTTGGTTTGATTTAAACCTGTTTGAAGACATCCACATATCAACAGAACCTCCATCTGAATTGATAGGTTGGGAACAGGCTATATACCCGTCCACCACTACACCCGTCACTATTAACAATAGATCACATATTAGATTAAGTTTCTCGTTATACGAAGACTTTTTAAAACTAAATGATCTGAAAATTACTGATCAAATTGTTAATACAAACGATTCACAAACAATACATTTAAATCAAGAATTCATTAAATATTTAAATGCAACTAATTTTCATGACTTTTACATCAATGCTTTGCAGACAACTCTTGAAAGTGAAAACATTACAAAAGTAATCGATTTAAGTTTGTTTCCGGTTTCGAGTTTGAATTGCGTTACAAACCAATTGTTGTCCAAAATAATTATAATCACTGATGATATCGACATTAAAGATAACATTCAAAAGTTTATGAATGCCTTGAAATTAGAGTCAAAGAAAGTAGATTTACTAAACTTTGATGATCTGATCTCATCGGACAGCCATATGATGACAAACTCTTTAGTTCTCATCGACTTTATTGAATCTTCGGGTTTAATGAGAAGCAATATTTTAGAAAAGTTAGCGTATCTTAACGTATATTCAGTACAAACCCCGCATTTTATGCCATTCAAAGTCATTATCAAAGCAGTACTCATTCAAAGTAATGATCTTATCACTAGATCCAGACTTATTAGTGATGACAATGTCCACGGATTCTGTATTAAGAATTTGCTCAACATCTTTGAGGTAAATATTATTTTTATTTAAAATTTGTGTTTAAAGTGTTAATTAAAAACATGTTTCTAACTCAAATATTTTAGACTGAAATTATACAAAACATTGACGTCAAGAAAATTGAGTTCTCAGAGCTCAGCAATTATTTTGATTTATTGGAAATTAATTTCAATCAAATCGTCAAATCAAAGGAAGACATTAATATTGAACCAAATAACAAATGTATAGTAAATGTGAGTAAATGCGGACAATTGGATGCAATACTGTATTGGTATGAATTACATTTGACTCAACAAATTGTGATCAATTCATTGAATATGAGTCCGAACTGGCATTCGGCAGCTTTTGTCCTCAAACAACCCCTTCCTCTCAATACACAAAATACACTACATTTTGATGTTATGTTTACGAATGGGTTCTTAAGATTCAAAGACTTGCGCTGCGAATCAACTATTGAATAGTTACTACAAATGTGTTCATAAATAAGTAATTTATTTTCATATTTAATATCAAAGTATTTGACCAGAGGTCTGCTAGCTTTTATAATTCACACAAATTTCGTATATATAAACTTATAAATTAATGCTAAAAACAAACTATCTACTGTAGATATCTTGTTTTTAGCATTAATTTATAAGTTTATATATACGAAATTTGTGTGAATTATAAAAGCTAGCAGACCTCTGTATTTGACCATAAAATGTTATTTTATTTTAAGATTAGAAAACGTTGTAACTTTGAAATTGTGTAGAAATAAAATGCTTAAAAAAATATCTGATGATTTTCATATGTTTCAAAATATAATGTCTCCCAGTTGGAAACTACTTGGTTGATCTTAAATGTGTATTAGTTTAATTTAAATTTTAAAACAATTAGAAGTATGGCATTTAATATCTAATATATAAATCGGTCAAGCATAATACATATTTAAAGAATTACCTTCTAACAACACAATTGTACATATTGATAAATTTGGCAGCTTACCTAAAATCTAATCTTTAGATTAAAATTGATTGTCTCAACATTAAATTGATATTTGATTTTAAAATAAATTCTAATTTCGAGTTAGATAGTTTGATAAAACACATTTTTATTATTTTTCAATAATGTTATTAAGAATTTTAAATCCATTTTTCCAGAAATTTTCAATACACGGATTAATTACTTTTTATGAACTCTTTCTAATATTTTGCAAAATAATAAATAAAACTTTGTTTTATGGAAATTATATAATGAAAAGGAAGTGATTTTGATGACGATGTGGTGATAATCATTGAAAACATCGGGGTATCAAACAGAAGGCACACCAGCAACAGGTAAGCCAACAGCTCGGGTCCTGCGCTACGGGTTTCAGACAACTCTCCACACAATGATATCGATAGAGACGAAGGCGACGAACAAACAGTTCCCAATCGGTGCCAATATATGTGGGGATTTGAACGGCACCCTCAGTAAGAGAACCGACCGGTCTTTGTAGGTAACACTCGGGACACTGTATGCCATGTCTGGTCGTCGGTTGGCCGACAGTTATCGCCCCTTTAGACCTATTTATTGGCACCACTTTAATGGCATATACTTTGCCGACGTTTTCAACGCTATCATTATTATTGCCTATAATTACTATTTGATGGCAAACACAGACATTGTTTCGGTGTTTGTAAAACTTGTCACTTAATTCTGCTGTTTTTTGTAATATAATATTATCACCACTTTTATCGTGAATATCATTAGTTTCAGTCATTTTGAGATAAGTTTTAGATCCAAAGATTTTATAAATTCCTTTAACTGTTATTTACCAGATATTAATTTTTAAATTTGATTGATTTTCTCGTGAAATACATTAAAAATAATGTTGAATATTTAAAACTAATACAATACCATATATATTAATTTACTAATTTCATTTAATTCATTTAATAAAAATTGTCACATTGTTTAATTAAAAGTAAAAATTTGTATAGATATTGATATTTAAATTCTTTGCTCACGGTTTTATATTTACTTTACAGAATGTAATTGGTAAAATAAAATAATAAAATTCTTGAATATTATTCTCTATTTAAAATAAATATTATTATTTAAGAATATAAGGAATTTGTAACATTATTAAATTAAAGTATTTAAACAATACTAATCATTTGCATTGATGTGATTAATATAGGTTTTAAGCTATGGTTTTAAACGACGCTTAAGGTTTTAAAATATTTTTAAAGCATTTAAAAATCAAATGAATGTATGAAAGTTGTGAACAGTATCTAAAATTAGTTACAATAACTTATTGAATGTTTCCCACGGCGTAAGTCATTCACCAAAATTCTATATAATATTGAGTAGCGTTTATAATACAATAGCTTTTCGCCAATTTTACACACCATTAGCCATAACAAGCGTTGGTTCCAAACATTCACAACAAATAATTAGCCGATTCTCTGCACATAAACATTGAATATTTTATTTAAACTATAGTTTTTATTAATATAAATAACTCACAATTTAAAACACACACACCTTATAATATTATTAAAAGGATCATTGTAACATTTGTAATTTAAAAATTAGTTTATTTAACATGTAAATGTAGACAATTTTCAAAACATGTAAAAATAGTTGACACTATATGTAGAAATATATTGGAAGTAAATTGAAATATTAAAATATAATTGTATTAGAATTACACACAAAAACCTTTTCTCTAACACAGAGTTATGTAATTGAAAAATGGATTATAAGTTATGATTAGTCTGTGTTTGAGAGCTCTTATGTGAAAGATTTAACCACAAATAATAGTCGTGTGATCAATGATACCATGCATTACAATGAAGGCAGTGGTGGAGACCTATCCCTTCATCCGTATCCATATCCAAATCTAACGGTGCGGTGGCTTTCAATAGGCGTTTCATTCATTGGTTTCCTATTGAAATGAGAGACTCGTTGAGAGACACGCGACTCAACAGAATAACTCAAAACACATTATACCATACTTTTAGATATACA